TGACACATGTGACTCTGAGAACTGCCCCTGTCTGTCCCAAGGCCTGCACCTGCCTGACCAGCTGGCAGCATCCCCCTTTCCACACCACGTTTGCCACGGCTGCTTCCTTTTCCATTCAGGCCCCTGGTGCGCTACATTAATGTGTTTATTGTCTATTCTCTTTCATGGGAACACAGGCTCCAACAAAGTAGGGATCTTGCCTTGTTCATTGCAGCAGGCTTAGTTTCTAGCACAGAACCTGGCAGATAGTAGGTGCTCAGTACATCTTCAATGAAGCAAGGAAAGAAGGCTGAAAACGACCTCTAGTTTCCCTCCGAAATCCAGAAAATGCCTTGCTGATAAGTGGATAAGTCTAGGTGCAGTTGTTGTGAGCTTCCAGAACCGTCCTGCGTGGAGCCAACCAGCTGGCACAACGGAGCATCTTTGTGGAGACAAAGGTGGAGACATGAGGGCCGTGACCTGGTGCCTGCTCTCAGAAAGCACAGAATTCTGCTGGTGAGAGAAAGCTCCCAAGTGAGAACAGAGCAATGAATCCAGGTAGAAGGCAATGCAGGTCTTTGGGGCGTCTGTTTTCCTTGGCATCTGTAGGGAGTCAGAGGCCAGGCGACCAGCTGTCAGCATTAGTGTTTTGGTGTGGAAGGAGTCCTGCCCTTTGGGTGTCTGGCTCCTAGGCACCTAGGCTCTGGGAACTCTCTGCATGTGCACCCAGAAACCACACCGGTATTTCCGGGAAGTACACACCAACTCCTTGTTCTCTGTAGGGTTTTTTCCCCCCTCTTCTTTTTCTCTCTGGCTGCTTTTTTCAAATTAAAAAGCAAGTCAGGAAGCAATGTTAAAAATAATCAAACCACAGCTAAAGGAAGGCAGTACCAAATGAAGAGAAAAGAAAAAAAAAACCTAGTTGAATATTATTCCACAGTGCTTTATGCTTGAGGCCCTGTGGTAATTCACTCTGAAGTCTGCTGGGGCCTAGGGAAGTTCACGGGCCAACGTTGCTTTTCTTTTGCATTACTTACATGGGTCATAAAAATCAGGATTGGTTTCTTGGCCAAAAGCTGGAAAAGGTCCAGCCATGGGGAGCAAAAGTGTTAATCAAAATGCAAAACTCAGAGCTCCACTTTCCCTACACTGCAAATACTTATTGCTGTCAGCAAAGTCCTCTTTGTACTCAAAATCAGCTTTCAGTATCAGGGTCTGGCAGAAAGGAAGAGATGAAGACCCCCCAAGAATGGAGAACAAAGTTCCCCAACATCCTGACTCATTCCACGGAGGCCGGGTGTCTGAGGAGGATCTGGGGCTTCTGAAGTACTCTGCTCCAAGGTTTGGGAAAGATGGGAGTGGGGGGCTCAGGAAGAAGATAAGTGGGCTCAGATGGAACTCATGGCCTCTTCAAATTTTTTGAGATTCCCAGTGCATTAAAATAAGAAAAGATATCAGGCATATTTTTAAACCATTAAACTTAAGTTAGCCCTTTTCATGCACAAGTAAACAAAAGAAGGTCACTGGGCTATTCACTAGCAAAGTCCAAGACTTATCAACAGCAGGAACTCAGAGTGCTGCTGGTGGCAAGGAGGGCCACAGCACCCGCATGTCTGTCGACCGTGTGCGTTTGTTGGTGGTCTCTGTCACACTCAGGTATTGCCAGGAGTTCCAAGCTGAGGTACTCCCTGAAGGGGAAGCCCTCTTCTCTCTCCTCACACTGTTGGTCATCCCAGGCCATTTGTCTTTGCTTGTCCTACTTTGCTCTCTGGATGACATGGGGCCTCCTCTGGGTGTGGAGGGTGGGGCGGCTGAGGATGAGTTGGCAGCTCCCTGCCTGGTGTGCTGGCTCCATGGGTCCTCTCCACACACCCGGGTTTGTTCAGGACATTTTCTCTGAGTCACCCTTGGTGATAAGACAGGCAAGAGCCTTTAAACGAGTCAGAGTCAGTCAGCATTTGGGTGGCTTTAGATTCTTTACTACTGCAGATTTGATTTCAGAATCTGCAAGTTCCTTAACAAAACTATTGTAAGATTTGACACAACTGTAGGCATTCTGAGTGCCAAAATAGCAGAGATAACAATAAGCAGAATACTGCACCCTTTGCATACAACTGAAGGAAGCTTTAATCTTTAGCACCCCACTGGTACATTTATGGATTCCTTCAACCAATATTTATCGAGCCCTTTCTAAGTGCCAAGTCTCACGCTTGAAAAATCACAAAGCAGCATAAACGGCTACAGCATTAAGTGCTAGCAAGGAGAGGTTCATAGGGCTAATAGCATATATTATGGAACCTGACTTGGCTGGCAGGTCAGAAAAGGATCTCTGAAAAATAGATACTGAGCTGGATTTGAGGAACGTGAAAGGAATAAAAGAGACAAAAGAGTGTTTCTAGAAATAAACAACAACAAAAAGCAATGCAAAGGCCCTGTGGTGGGAGAGAGGAGAATAAATAAAACTGACAAGTAGGTCTGGAGCAATGGTGAAGACTTAGGGTGGTGCCTGTAGGACCCGGGGCATTGTAGGGCTGAGCCAGAGTGGGAGAGACCTACTGTGGCAGGCAGGAGGCTTCAGAGACTCCTGGAATTTCTTTCATCCAGAAAGCAACAGGAAATGACAGAAAGGCTTCAGTTGGGGGCGGGGTGTGAAGGCTGGGGATGTCAGAGTTACATTTGCATTTTGAAAAGATTTACTCTAGCTGCAGAGCTAACATCTCCTGATTTCTGCTCTGTAAATCCTGTAAGAGCAGGGTCAGTACTCAGTCACCAGAAGCAGAGGCTAATATCTTACAGCCAGGCCTGAATTTGAATCCTGACTTCATGCCTACCAACTGGGGCATGGCTTCAGGCAAGCCTGCTTTTCAGAGCTCCAGTTTCCTCGATTGTAGAATGTGGCTAATAACACTTCCTGCATTGTGGTGAGGGCTAAGGGAGGGTAAATACATAAATATTCTTGCTGGTATATGGCAAAACTCTCCCTGAAATTTTTAAAAGCAGAAAGCTGCTTCAATATTATACATGGTGTGAAAGAGCCAATGTTCACTGGGACTTCCAGCTTTTGAAAAAAGCATCTTGGATTTTACCTGCATTTCACTTTCTTATAGATCAATAGTTTGGAAATACCTGCCTGTGCCTCTTCAGACAACAAAGCACAATAATAAAACACCCACTCACCATCTGCATGAGGTGCTGCAGTCAGGGCTGCTGGTTCTAGAATGAATCAGACGAGGGACCATGGAGAGGTGAGCAACCAGAGAGCAGACAAGGGACAAGGGAGCCTGGCAAATAGAGAAATGAGCCACAGGGTGTGAGGAGCGTTTGCTGGTAATGAGCGAGAGACTACGGAGTGACTTCCAGTTCCAGAGTTGGGCTGGCAAGTCAGCCTTGTTTTGATCCGTCAAGGATTCGACATTTCAATGCTCTCATCTCTTGAACAGCTCAGGGCCCTGCCAGAGCAGAACAGGATTTGACCTTAAGTCAGGGTCTTGTCAAAATACTCAGCCAACTTTAGGAGGCTAATGATGAGATGACAGGAGCATCAAGGTCATCAAATAAGTCTAAATCCTTGAATTTATAATGATCTCCATTGGAAGGTGACATGAAAATTTGTGAATAAAAGAATCAAACATTTATCCTGTCTCTCTGACATGAGCTGTACCAAATAGTAGATGTTTTCTCTTTACAGAAGTATTTCAGCAAAAATAATGAAGCAGGAATGATAGAATCAGAATGTCATTATTCTGTAATCCTTAGTGAAGGATTGGATTTTAATGGTTGCTAACACTGTAAAAAGATCCCCATTATCTGCATTTGGAACCCTAGTTCTCTCGGTTTCCCTGTATTCCTTTGAGAAATAGGGGGTAAGGATGGTTTCTAACATCCTGCAGGCAGTTGATACCTGCAGTAATGAAGAGATTCAGGTTCTGCAGTGTGACTGGGTTGGAATCTTAGCTTCCGAACCCAAATTCGCAGGTAAATCTATTTGCTCCCCACCGCTAATCCTCCTGATTGGTGAAATAGAAATAACAATCAAGCTTACTTCAAAGAGTTGATGTAAAGATTAGATACATTTCATGCATTCATTTAATAAAAATCGAGCACTTAAGTCTCCAGCTCTGGGAGGGAAATGGATGAAGCAGTGAAGAAAATACAGGAGCTGGGCTAGGCTTTAAAGGGCTACATTAGATGACAGTAAGTGCTAAATAAGATGCAGTAGTTCCAACACCTGGAACTATGAAGAAAATGAAACATAGCAATTTGACAGAGAGCAACTTCAGGGAAAAGAGAAGATCTGCAACATTAAGGAGGTGGATCTGGGACAGTCTGGCTAAGGTGACAGTTGAGTCCCATGTGACAAATGGGAGGTGCCTGCCGTGGAAGATCTGGTTTTCTACGTGCAGTAGTGGTTTTCACCCACCTAAATCTCCCTGCATATTTGGCAGTGTCTTGGCAGTTGGGTTGCTACAGCTAGGAGAAAGGGGGTGTTCTGACGTCTAGTGGGCAGAGGACAGGAAGTCTAGTGGTCAGAAGCCTGGGTCCTACAAAGCACAGGACAGCCTCCACACTGAGAAATTAACTGGTCCAAAGTGTCAATAGTGACAAGGTCGACAAACCCTCGTATAGAGAAAACGTCAAGGGCAGAAGCCAGCAAGGAGCTTGTCGGGTTTGGGCAGCAAACGCAAACCTGGAGTGACGGTGGATGAGGATGACGTGAAGAGGTAAGCGAGGCTAGACTATGGAGTGCTCCTTAGGACACAGTGAGGAATTTGGAATTATCCCCAAAGCAGTGGACATCCCTTGGAGAGTTTTAAGCAGGGAGAAAGGCAACCCCTGTCGAGCGGTTAGCATACATAGATGCTCAATAACATTGTCCATTATTTATTATCACCATTGTGTCTTCCCTACTCGGCCCAGCCCGGACCCAGGCCTCAGTGTGGCCGCAGTGACTCCTCCTGGCCAGCAGAGGGCGCTGGTCGACAGTTGGCCAGCGGCCGTCTGGGGCGGGCCTCCTCTTGCCGTCCCCCTTCGTCGTCTTTTCCCCTCTGGAGAAGTCGGGAAGGTGGCGGCGGCGGCGGTTGTCCCGGCCCGGCCGGTTGGTGTGGCCCGTCAGCGCGCGCTCCGCAGCGTCCGCGCCGCGTCGAGCCCAGTCGAGCCGAGCAGCGCCGCGGCCGCCGGGTCCGGCGCGGGCGGCGCGCGCTGACGGAGGGCTGCGGCCGCGGCCAGGGCGGCCCGTGGGACCGCGGGCCCCCGGCGCAGCGCCGCCCGGCTCCCGGCCCTGCCGGCCTCCTCCTTCGGCGCCGCGGCCATGGCGGCCAGCGCGAAGCGGAAGCAGGAGGAGAAGCACCTGAAGATGCTGCGGGACATGACCGGCCTCCCGCACAACCGAAAGTGTTTCGACTGCGACCAGCGCGGCCCCACCTACGTGAACATGACGGTCGGCTCCTTCGTCTGTACCTCCTGCTCCGGCAGCCTGTGAGTGCGGGGCTGCGGACGGCGGGCGGGGGTCCGGCCCGGCCGGGGGACGCCGCGCGGCGCGGGAGGCCGTTGAGACGCCGGCTGGGGCGGGGGGCGGCGGCGGGGCGCCGTCGCCGGGCGGGGCGGGGCGGGGGAGATGGCTGGCGGGATGCGCTCGGCCCGGGCGACGTCCGGGATGCGCTTTCGGTTTTGCCGGCCGAGGGTCCAGCCGCAGGCAGCCTTCGTGGGTGGGGCGAGGGCGGCGGTGGGTCCGGGAGGGGGCGGCCAGGGCGAGCATCCCTGGTTGCGCCGAGCAGCGGCCGCTGCCTGAGTCTGGGACTGCGCGGCGAGGGCCCCGCGGGGCTGAGGGAGCGACGCGGGGAGGCTGGGGAGGGCCATGCGGGTCCTTTGTGTGCCCCGCCTCTCAGCCGCCGGGGCGCTGCGGTTCCCAGCCCGGCACCTGCCGGGAGCCGTGCGGGGGTGGGAGCGGGATGGGGGCGGGCAGGGACTCGCTCCCGAGCGCCCGGGTAACGGTGGGAGAGCATCTGCTAGAATGGAAACCTCTCGGTGGCCGAGATGGGGGTCCCAAGAGTAAAGTTGGAGGGGGCTCAGTGCAGGAGCGGGAGGCCGAGAAGCAGATGTGAGGTTGTAAGGTTTTGGCTTTTCAGTCTGAAGGGAGTCTTGAGGAGTTTGGGGAGAGTTTTAATGGAAATAAGGTACTGGTTAGGAGTTGTGCAATTTCTAAATATGGTTGTGGTATCTGTGAGACCTCTGGATCAATACGCAAGTGTCCTGGCTGTGCACAGAAACGGGGAGACATGGGAAGACAACCTTGTTTAAAAAAAAACTGAGGGTCGTCTTGAATCAGATGTTTTTTTTTTTCCCCCTCATTAAACTTTAGTAAGTTTTTTTTTTTTCCTGTTAAAATATTTCTTTTCTGTGAAATTTGATTTGGAAGGTTGGATGATTTTGAAACTGATAAGATGCTTTTATATGCTAATTATCGTGGGTTCAAAGTAAGTTACTAACAAAGTGGGAGTTTCTAAATATTCTCAAGATCTTTGTAAGATTAATAACTTAGAAAAAGTAAGAAATAGGAAGACGGATTTCCTGAAAGTTGGAAAATGTAGGACGTTCCCATTCGTGTACTCTTTGCTTTAGTTTTTTATTTTATTTGGACAACGAGACATTAGTTTTCCATGGTTATTACAAACATTTTTGGGGGTGTGTACTAGGTTTTATGTGAAGGCTTAGGGTGTACTGATGAATACAACAAAGTCCTTATTCTCTTGGCACATATTCTCATGGGGGAAATGGTAATACATAAATAAGAGAAATGTCAGGAGTATGTACTGTGCTCAGCATTAAAATGGTGTGATAAGAGAATCCCTAAAGTTACTTTTTGGTTGTGTAGTCAGGAAAACAGAAGTTGCCAGAGGTAGGTGGTATTTAGGAAATATTCTGGTTTCTGCTTTTCATTTTTAAGTGAAGTAAAACCTGGGAGTTAAGTGACTTATGTTGGCAACTTTGGTTCAGATATTCAGGTAATAGTCTAATTTGTTTAAAGTGTGTTTGACTTTTTAAAAAATTTTTCACTGTATTTACTTTTTTTTGCAGTACTGGCAATTGGACTCATGGCCTCACACATGCTAGGCAAGCACTCAACCACTGAGCTACATCCCCCAGCCTTTTGTAAAAGAATTTTACTGTGAAATAGGGTTCTGCCAAGTTGCCCACGCTGGCTTTGAATTACTATACTGCTGCCTCAGCCTCCTCAGTAGCTTGGGTCACATTTACAAGGGTGCTGGCCACACCTAGCTTGTATTTGACTTTTAATAGGAGCTTAAGAAGTATGTTTCGCTTTTACTAAACACAAGTCCTTTGATATGTTTAAAGTGTTTGGTTGTAAATATATGTATTCCTGTTCTAGATTTCCAACATTTCGGTGTAGTCCTTCAAAAGTACAAAAAGTACCTTCCTTGCAGCAAATATGTAATATAAAGGAAATATTTTCAAATTTCATCCTAAATTCCATGCTCCATGCTTTAGAAACATTCTATGTAAAAGGATATGCCAGTATAATGATAATTGCTTATTTTAGTGATACTTAATCTGTAATAGATAGGACTTCATTTCTCTATTGTTTTACTTTTCCTGTCACAAATACTGTGGGAAGCACTGGAATTATCTGGATCCCATTATCTTTACAGAGGTTGCATTTTAAGCAAGTAGACATACAGTTACAATACATTGTAATAATTACTTTCTATGAGTGTTCTGTGAAATGCATCAATGGATACAGAAGTCTTCATAGAAGAGTTGATACCTGAGTAAAGACCTTTAAAGACAAGTTCCACACAGTAGGCAGTTTCTTGTAGTTCATGGATCAAGTGCTTATGAGCTTCTTAAACCTGCTTTTGAATTCTGGTTCCAAGTAATAGCTATGTGGTATTGAGAATGATGTTCAATACTTGAGTTTGCATTTTCTCATATCTGAGATGGTGAGGGTAAAATTCCCTTTGTAGATTTTGGATGTAGATTTGTTTTAAACATGTCATATAATACGTTATATATAATAGGTGCCCAATTGATAAGAAGCATTGGAAAGGACATGGCATGTTAAGAAACATCCTAAAACCCAAGTTTGGGATTTTTTTAGTGTAACCTGAAACCTGACTCAAATTGACTTAAAAATCTGAAGGAAATTTACACCAATAAATAAATTTCCTTCAGATTTTTAAGTCAATTTGAGTCAGGTTTCAGGTTAAACTAAAATATCAGTATTTTAATGATATTGCTTAGATTTCCCTCATCCAGACATGTTTGCGCCAGCTTTTGGGGCCCTATACGTTAATTATGTTGTTAGTCTTCGTTTTCTGAAGTGTCCTGCCTTTCAGTTTGATTGGTGAGCTTAGGTCCTGTGGCCAGTACTCTGGTTGGACACATTGCTTTGCCTTCATTGGAACAAGGATCCCCAAATAGAGTTCCCAAATCAGGAATTTCATATTCTTGGAAGGATATGGAAATCTCAACCAGCAGAATCTGCTCAGAAGCTGGGTGTGATGGCATTCACGTGTAATCCCAGCTACTCTAGAAACTGAGGCAGGGGATACTGAGTTGGGAACCAGCCTGGGCAACTTTTTGAGATCATGTCTTACAGTGGGGGGAAAAGTTAAAAACCTTTTTTATCTATTCAGTTTGAAGAAATTAGAATTCTTAGAATTTACTATAATAATCAGAATGCCCACAACATTGTAGAGAATAAATTATTGTCTGATTGTGAAATTCCAAGTGGGTTCACCCCTCATTATTGCAAAATATTGGGGGAGCAAGAATCTGCTGCAGAATATTTTTTAAAAATATTAATTTTTTCAGTTATAGGTGAACACACTATCTTTATTTTATTTTATTTTTTTTTGTGGTTGGTACTGAGGATCGAACCCAGTGCCTCAAGCGTGGTAGGTGAGAATTCTACCTCTGAGCCACAATACCAGCCCTCTGTTGCAGAATATTGAAGGGATAATAGCTCCTAAAAATTTTTGTCTTTAAAAAACAATAATGCCAAAAAATGACTTAAGGAGAATAACATAACTACTGAGTTTAATAATTATTATGCATTTATTATGTGTAGATGACATGGCATAATTGAAAGAATAAGAATTTTAATGTCAGATTTTGACACTATTACTAGTTTTATGACTTAGGGCAAAGTGTTTAATTGAGGCCATTGTGTGCAGATTGGCTTGGATCCATCACCTTAGGTTCAGTTTTTAAATTTGTGTTAATAGCTGGGTGCTGTGTTACTTGAGAGGCTGATTGCAAGTTCACAGATAGCCTGGCAATTTAGTGAGCCCATATTTTAAAATGAAAAATAAAAAAGAGCTAGGAATGTAGCTCAATGATAAGAGTATTTTGCTGGCATGTGTGAGGGCCCTGGGTTCCATCCCCAGTATTGCAAAACAACAACAATAAAGGACAGTATTTGTTGAATACATAATGTATTCCAGGATGGGGTTCAGGTAGAAATATGAAATAAGGCATATAAGATTACCCTATTTTAAAAAATGATTCATAAAATTTTCACTGAGTATTTAGATAAAATAAAAAAATGACATTTGCAGATGTTTGCCGTTCTTAATTTTGCTGGCTATTTTATGTGGCCATTGTATTCAAACTTGGAATTTCATAGGAGGTAAATGTAGCCAGATAGTAACTTATTCTCTATTAATTTTGTGGGCATTTTGACTCTTAGAGTAAGTCTTCCAAAAAATTTTTTCTTTAATTAAAATTGAACAGATAAAAGTATTTAATTTTTTAATAGATTGATTGCAATCAAATACTCTTAAACCTCTGTATATAATATTTAGGACCTCATGAAGTCCTAGTGGGTAGAGATTTATAGTCCTAATTTCTTTTCCCTCTTGTTTTGATTATCTGATATGATTGTATTCATTCAGTAAGATGTCTTAACAATGTAGTAAAATTTCAGTTTATAGTAAGTGGCAGAATTATTTGATGCTTTTTTAAAATTATAGGACTTTTTTATTGAGTGAGACACTAGCCCATGTTTTAGGGATATAACAGTTAAATATTGTCAAAAAAAAAAAAACAATACTAATCACTAGTACCATTTATTGAACGCTAGCTGTGGAATAGACATTATTCTACTGATAGTCATATGAAGAAGGTACTATTATCTGCCTACAACTTTAAATTGTAAAATTAGTGTACATTCTTAATCCTTTGCTGCAATACCTTGCTTGATGTGGGGATGCAGAACTAGAGTTGATTTCACTTGTAAAGAACATATAATTTCCAAGCTGGATGTGGTAGTAGCCCATGCCTGTATTCCTAGAGATGGGGAAGCTGAAGTAGGAGGATCCTAAGTTAGAGGCCAGCCTCAGCTAAGCAACTTAGTGAGTTGTGAGATCCTGTTTCAAAAAGTAAAAAGTCTGTACCCCTGGGTTTGATCCCCTAATCCCTTATGCTAGAAAAAAAAAAAAAAAAAAAAAGACATA